ACTCGCACGGTGGGAGTGCGCACTTCCGAAGATACGGAGGAAGGACGACATGGCCTGCATGGGCGAGCTAGAGGTGATAGTAGCGGTGCTTTAGGTGAGGTCGACGAGGTGGAGGAGATGAATCACAACTGCTATCGATGTTCATACACTAAACAAAATTCGATCTTTTGACATAAACAATTATTTATTTTACACCTAAATCTTCAATATAATAAAAATTAGTATATGCTTTTTATTAACTCCGTTGCAACGTACGGGCAATTTTTCTAGTAAACTATAAAAACAGAAAGAAAGACAAACGAAACCAAAATATTCTTAAGGCTCGTTTGGATTGTCTTATCTAAACTTTAAAGCTTTAAAAACTTTAGAGCACTTTAGCTCATTTTTGAGGTCTAAAGATTTAATGTGAGGTGGGCTAAAGTTTAAAGCTAACATTAGTCCGCGAGCTTTAGCTCTAAAGTTTAGAGCTTTAAAGTTTAGAGGAGAGGCTTAGTTTAATATTAGAGTAGACGCACCATGAGGGTATTTTGTTTGGTATAAAAAAGACGATTTAAAGAAACATTTCATCTGGTTGTAGTTGATCCCGATACATATATGAATCAGACTTTTATCATTGCTAGATGCTAGTTGTATAACTTGTATGAGCACAGAGCATGAGCCTAGGACTGTAGGTCACATATATAATATGAGATACGTATGTAGGATGCGATCCAATGAGTATTGGAATCGGACTCTGCATTGATCATTGCTAGACGTGATCTATTCATACTCCTATGAGCACGGGTCATATAATAGTTAGACGGAGGTGGGCAAAAAAAGGGCTAAAACTTTAGCTGTTGAGCAACTCCAAGAGACTATGTAAAAATAGTTTCCAAATTGTATGATTTAGCCATTATCTAAAATAGAAAACCCTAGAAAAAATAGAGTGCTCCAACAGCTTTTGTAAATTTTTCCTTACCTAGAATATTTAAAACTACCACAGGGAGGACAAGGACGGTGACTGGATGCTCATCGGCGACGTGCCGGGAATGAGCACTGCTTCTTTGTGCATTATTGACTATTCTGAAAATATGTGATATGATTGTGACAACTTCCTCATTAATACTGGAATTTTCATTCCATTCATGATGTTCGTCGAATCATGCAAGCGTCTTCGGATCATGGAAGGATCAGAAGCCATTGGCCTCGGTCAGCTGACATGATTATTATAATCTTAACAAAAGAAAAGGTTCAAATGAAGTTTTCTAGGGTAGTAACTTGATTTTCATGCGGTCTCCATCCTTGAATTTGCAGCATCAAGGGCCATGGAGAAATGCAAGAACAGAAGCTGAGGAGAAGATGGAAGCTCTGCTCTGCTTTTGTATCACACTCATCCCTGCTCTCCAAGGCCTTGTTTAGTTGGCGATATTTTTTGGAAATTGGTACTGTAGCACTTTTGTTGTTATTTGGCAATTAGTGTCCAATTATAGTCTAATTAGGCTTAAAAGATTCGTCTCGTGAATTTTGTCTAAACTGTGTAATTAGTTTTATTTTTTATTTATGTTTAATACTTCATGCATGCGTCCAAAGATTCGATGTGACAAAAAATCTTAAAAAATTTTGCAAAATTTTGGGAACTAAACAGACACCAAGCCTCTATATCTCTTGATCGGTGAAGTCATTTTGGTGTGTCAACTGTTCTCTCTTCCAGTATGTCAGTAAACCAGTTAATCAGTGTCGAAGTCTCATCTTATCCTATACAGAAGAGTGGTCTGCCACAGTTGTTGATTCCAGTAGCACTCACCATGGTGACGTACTTGATCTCGGCGAATCCAAAGGCGATCTCGAGGATATACGATGGCGCCCCCGCACTAGAGAACGTCGCGCCGAGCGGCCCCGTGCTGGAGAACGCGAGCGGCAAGTGACGTGGTGGAATCTACCGCGACGGTCGATGGCGTGGTGCGGTGGTGAAGAATGCCGCGAGGGGTGAGCGACGAGGATTGAGGAATCAGTGTCCAACATTGTTTTTTAATAGAGAGAAAGCGCGGGCCTGCACAGACGTGGGAAGCCGTCGTCCGGACGACTAGGCGTCCTACAGGGAGCATTTTATGGCTGCGTTCGGCTGGCTGGCCGGCTGGGGCTGGGCTGGCCAGCGCACTCACACCAGCACTGTTCACGTGAACAGTATTTTCAGACAGAACAGTATTTTTCTCTCACAACAATCAGCCGGAACAGTATTTTGGCTTGTTTTTCAGTCCTGCCGAACAGACCCTATATATGTACAGTTTTTCACGAAGCAAGGTCTTAGTGGCTTGTACGTTTTTTCGCGGAACAAGCTCTTAGTGGCTCTATAGTTAAACATGCTATATGCTCGTGTGTTGGCACTATGGATCGAGGCGGTGGACCAAAAGTCACAAAAAAAGGGGCGGTGGACCGAGCACGGGACTAGTCATCGGGTCGTGCTGACACATGCACAACTTGCATCAGGCCATACCTTCATTAAACACAACTAGATAACGTGCAATTGGTGAGAACAGAGGTTTTTCGGGTATGTTTCCATAGATTGCATGCTTGGGCAGTGAATTGTGTGTTTTCTTTGGCATGGCAGGATTGCATACTGATATGAATGTTGTACAATGAGCGTATATATTTGAAAGGCTTGCTGAAGGTGGAGGTCTACATGTTAATTATAGCAGCGTTAATGACCAAGATTATATAATGGATCATTATCTCACAGATCCTTCATGGGCCACATTGGTGAAGACCATACTACAACCACAAGGTAATAAGAATAAATATTTTACCAAGGCACAAAAAGTTTGTAGGAAGAATGTGGAACGAGCATTTGAGGTTCTACGAGCTAACTTTGTTATCGTTTGAGAGCCAGCTCGTGAAATTACATATAAATACCGATGATAATACAAGATAGTTGGATCCCAACTAAGGAAAGATAGTTGGATCCCATCTAAGGCTGAATTGCTGCTAACATGTTCCTGATGTATGACATGGTAGGCCTCATAGTTGGATCATCCTGGACACAACGCACGCCTATATGAATGCATCTTTCTACCTCCCCTCTGGGAGCATTCCCCATTCTTGGATCCTTTAATTGATCTGCTGTTCCCTGAGTCCAGTGTTGTCGAACCTTTGCCAAATGTAACAAACAACTTACGGTCAACAATGAGAAAAAACACAATTATGTAATTGAAATTTGGCATTTCAGACACTAAACTTAGAGCATGCATGGCATTCTTTATAAGTCTGCAACATACAACATCTGGGTTTCCCTATCAACCCATGCTCTAGGATAGTCTAGAATAATATGTTGCAGGAGTACTTAATTTTTTGTGGATAAATTTAGTCATACAAATAATTAAAAATGATTATCTTTACCCTATCTCTCTATTCCTTTCCTAACTTGAAACCCATTTAGGTATTCTATATAATCTATATCTTCTTGTAATAATTACCCATTACTCTACATGTCCCCGTTTCATCACATCATGAATCTATATTTTGGCTTCCAACTTTTGAACTTATTAGTTGTTGTAACTGTTTTGTCCATGTGTTGAATTCAATCTCCCGTGCTTATTGTATATTCATTTTTTTTCCTTTTATATTTTATCAAAAATACATATTGTATATCCTAGACTCCATACATACTATAATGGCATAAATATTTGTTTCAGTATGTAGCACATCAATCAAGATGTTGAATTTCCTCTACCAAAGAGTTATAAGTGCAGTAGTATTATATTTTGTCAGTGATAATATGATTTAAAATAAATTGTCAATGTATATGGTTTGTTAAGAAAATATTTTCTTTCCACATCCAATAAACTATAAACATATAAATTTATCACTAATGTATGTTATACACACTTGATAAACATGGTGGCACATAGCGATTATGTTAACTTTGAATTTAACGATGGCAGAATCGTGTAATTTAGATATATGTACGGTGTACTTTATGGTTATTTTTTTTTTCTATAATTAGTAATTTAAACGTAGATTTCAAGGATATTTTAGTTTATGTTTTATAAATGGGTAATTTAGATGCAATTAAAGGGTCAAGTTATATTATCTTTCATAATAATAGGGTAGATAATTTAAAAATAAATTTAATTGATACTTTAAATATCTTTCATAATGCTAGAGACTGGTAGTGTTGTCATCATTTGCACTTCTAACTCTATGTATTGGTTGAAACATAAGCTTAATAAGCTATACCAACTCTTGTTGCATCTCATTTATTTAGGGTGTGCTTTATATTATAGATATAAATTAAGGGTGTGCTTTATATTATCTTTCACAATGACATATCTCAATAATTTAAAAGAAAATTTAGCATTACTTTGTTTTATCTTTTATAGTGACAGAGGTGAGTAATTTTATGCAAATTTAGGGTTTAGTTTGCAATATCTTTCATAATAAGAGAGGTGGATAACTAAATGCAAATTTAGTGGTTAATCACTGAAGGATTGCATATGTGAATAATTTATATGCAAATTTACGGGTTACTTTATGTATATTTCGTAATGGCAGAGTTGGTAAATTTTTCTTAGATAACATAATATATTTGATGGTTATTATTGATGATGATGATTAGATTCCACCAAATTAAAGGCTAGATGTTTCTAATTATTGTGATAATTTCTAAAGTTTATCTTTCTCCTATCATACTTCATAGAGATTAAAGTTGAGTCTCTATTGGAGGCCTCCCATTAATAGTATTAAGATACATATATGAGACATTTAACTTACATATCTAGGGAGGTTATCAGTATCTTCTGTACGAAATGAGGTAGCATTGCAGCCTGTTACTATCTCCAGAAGTACTACACCAAAGCTATAGACATCTGACTTCGCTGAGTACTTGCCATAAAACAACTCAGGAGCGCTGTATCCACTGAGTAGCAGTCATTAAAGTAAAGAGCCAATGGTTAGTTCTGCTCATCAAAAGTCAGCCAAAAACAATAACTAAGAAATAAAAGAAATTTAATGGATACAAAATGAACTCACGGTGTTCTCCTGATGTTCTCAGCCTTCCCTTCAGATTGACCTTGATCAAGCAGAGTTGCAAGACTAAAATCTGAAATTTTGGGTATGAAGCCATCACTAAGAACGATATTACTAGGTTCTATATCACGATGAACAATTCTACAATGCTCATGAAGATATAACAATCCTTCACAAATCCCCTGAATGATGCATAAACGTGAAGTCCAGTCGGGGATTCCGCTCCTCTCATCTTCAGCTGCACACACATTGGATTCAAGGCCAATAAGATAATCATCTATATTATAAAAAAATTGTTATTTGAGTACTATTCGCTTATATTTAGTACATACCAGAAAGAACAGCATCAAGGCTACCACCAGACATGTATTCATAGCATACCACCATCTCATTATTCTTTATGCAAGATCCCAGCATTCTTATGATATTCGGATGGTCAAGCCTTCCGAGCATTTTCACCTCATTTTTTAGCTCCTCAAGTCCTGCTTCTGTATTTAGCCTTTTGACCACCAAATCCCCAATGGTTGGTAGTGTTCCCTGAGCAAACGTCCAAGATGATAAATTCTTAATATAAATGCAGCGGATTCTTTTCAGATAATGGATTTGTTTTTTTTTTGAAGAAACTAGATAATGGATTTGTTCCGGCTCCAAACCTCTTTAGAGAAGAGGCATCAGACCATGATTATTACAAAGAATGACTCAAAATCAAAATACATAAAAGTGGTTAATACCTTGTAGATGGTCCTGGATCGAGCAGAAATAATACTATTTTGTTCAGCAAAATTGTTGGTGGCAACTCTAATATCATCCAAGTCTAAATTCTTCTCAAGGGTAGCTGCAAGCTTAGACCCTGGAGCATTCTCATGCTCTGCCCCAGAAAGCTCTGCTTGCTCAAGATTTTTGTAGATGAAATGGTATAAACATAATCAAATAAAATTTGCCAATACTAAAACGTGTACAAAAGAAGACCTTGGAACGAATTGATGCTTACCATGTGCTAGTGGTAAATGTTTTTGTTGACTTCGACGATAACAAAACCCTAGCAATGCAGAAATCACCAGCACTACCCCAATGACAGAAACAGAAATAATGATAGCAATGTCTCGACCTATAGAAGAAACAAAATATCCATATTTAGTAAAAGTACCAGCTAATCAAGTGAATCGTAGGAAAGTGGAACTACTAAAGAAGACTTAACTACTGATTTGGAGTGTTCACAAAATGAGAGAACCCATTCAGTATGTTCCGTTTTATATCAGTACATTGGCTTTTTAATTTTCTTTGAATCAGGTGAACATCAGTTTTTTCTTCTTATCTCAAGCACCTTATACGTTAATTGGCTACAAGCTACATGACTAAACAAAACAGCAGAACACAACCTTTTTACTTTGATATGTATGTATTTACAACAAATACTTTCTTTCTATGATATTTTTAAAGAGAAATATATCAGGAAAAAAGTGTGTAGTTGAAATATTTCAGCATTAGGATGAGTAGGTTTGTAACAGCATGTTTGGTCATATAAATAAAGCAGGCAAAATATTTTCTCTGGTATTGATTAGAATACTCCATACCTGAATGAGATGTGTTGCTATGAGAAACTCGAGTGTACAAATCATTGATCCCTTCAGCAAGCTGAACAATATCTACCAGATCGCCGAACCAGAGCACACAGTCACTCTCTCCAAACATAGTATAAGCACTGCAGGAGCAGTTTCCCAGGCACAAATCCTTGCAACCATCCCAGCTCTTGCCAGGGACCATGGTGGCATTTAACGTGTCCGGAACCTTGACCCGTGACAGATGTGCAAAACCATTACCAGACGAGCAAGAAAGCGCCACATTCCTCACACAACCACCGTCAAAGTTCCTCTGGGTCCAATCACTTGGTGATCTAGGAGTGAATTCCTGAAGACAATTGCAGTCACCGTTGGCACAAACCGCGTTCGGACCGCAGTACTCGTAACTATCACATTGATCCTGAGGCAGATGCCAGTATTCGACCCAGTCGTTGTTCTGGTTGCTGTGCCAGCGATGGGCAAGGCCATCTGGGCTTATGACGAAGCGCCACAGGATGGATGTGTCCACAACTGTGAAGGAGTAATACACGCTGCTTCCGCTGATAGTCATGTTAAACGCCAGCTCATTGTTTGCCCTGAGTGCAGGAATTCCACTAAACCCTTGTCCATTCCATGTGCCCAACCTGTACTTGAGGACATCATCCTGGAACAAAAGAGCACGTCAGGCAACCGTTTCGGATCAAGCTTGAGGTAGTAGTCTCCAAGAGATGGGTCTGAACTGCTCTTCCACGACCTGAGATACATGTTGTCACCGGTGGACGTGTCATATCCGATTCTCATCTCAGGCAACAACGAGTCGCAGGGATGATCGAAAGCTTGCCATATAAGATTATTGGCTGTGTCGTTGATGATGAGGTTACCGGAGTCGAGAAGGAAGGCTTGTGGACGATTGTCGATGGCGTTGAGCGTTCCACTTGACCACACTTCAGCTCCTCCCCTGTCGAGCAGGTCGAGAGAACTTGCTGTGAGTGTAAGGCTTCCATTGCCTCCAGTGATTGGGGTTTTACGGTTTGCGACCCAGACAATCGTTTGAGGTTTCATGTTGTGATACCATATTCCTAAATATGTGCTGTTCCCGTTTGAAAAGAAACCCAACTCAAAAATTTTCTGCGCTGAAACAAGCCTCTCCCCGTTGAGCAAAGATTGGCCTGTGGTCAGAGAGTCACCTGGAACTACAAGAGACGAAATGAGGGTGCTAGTAATTAAACAAGACATTGAATGAAATGACTTGCACAGTTGGATGTCTTAAATGAGAACCTAGGAAATATCAATATGACCTTATAAAGTGGAATAATAAGCATAATTGAGAAATTTTCCATTACATCTTGTTTGTTTTTTATTTGACGTCTTAAGTTTGAGAGCTTAGCAATCAAATACCTAGCGCTTGTTAATGATGGGATTTTCTCCGAAATTATTTATCTGATGAATTGAGTGTGTTCAATTAAGAACATCTAAATGAAGGTAAGTATAAAAATTGGGGAAATTTTCAAAAGGAAAGGAGAAGTGGGGTGGGGTGGCGAACATCCAGCTACTTATGCAATCGTCTTAACCAGGCGCATAGCAAAAAAAAGGTAAGGAAGAAAGAAAGAAACTATGGATCGGACATACACGACGCAAGGATTTTGTAATAAAGACAGTTGTTAGTTTAGGAGAAAGAAGAGTTCAGAAAGATAGGCATGCAAAATTGCCAATCGATATATACGAACTTAACAAACACGCAGAGGGAGAGACTGAGACCGAGAGATTCGTACCGAGTTGCTGCGGCTGAGCTAAAGCAGCCGCAAGTAGCGCCACCGTGGCGATTAGGGCGCCCTTCAGCTTCAGCATGGCTGCATGGCCCGGCCCCCTGCAGCCTCAAGCTGTGGTGCTGGATTGCTGGATGGATATAATAGACGCACGCAGCTCGGGTACCTGAAGGAACCAAGGCCAGTAGCCCAGTACCCAGTAAGTAGGCAGTAACGGAGACTTGCTCTTCAGTTCCACTCATCTTTCTATATCTTTTTTTTTTGGAAGGAAATGGCAGGGCCGCTCAATTAAGTTAGGAAACACTCGTCTTTCTATATCACTATCACAAGGGAAATTTCCATATTTCTGAAGTGTAGTAGGTAGTGAGGAAAAAATTGGTAAAAGAACCCTAAGGTACAGTTCATGTTTCCCAACAAATAGAGGATCTCTAAAGAACAGGTTTTTGAGTTAACTCTAATCCAATTATTTATTTTATCACTTATTTAGTATTGTATTCTCCTTTACAGTTTTCAGTCAAGAACATATTTGGCTGTTTTGAAAAGGAAACAAAACACAGATGCAAACCCTGAAAATGGCAGTTCACATCAAAATGTAATTATGTAAATGATGTATCTTGATCTAAATGAATGGCAGAATATATAGGAGTATGTACATCGCATTCATTATGGACGATTGGATTGGATAAGAAGTGGACTTGAACAATCGTTGCAACCACAAGCTGGTTGACCATGAGCAATATACTAGTTGACTTGGATATTTGAAGGGCTCCGAGTCAAGTGAAACAGACAATTGAAATATTGAATAATAATGGTTTTGATAGAAATAGTAGGAAAGTGACGAGACAGCTCGGATGAATGCTGCAGTTGTTTCTTTGAACAGACAAGCAAGTCCACTTGAGGTGTTATGCAAAGGAGAAATATCTCTGCGCGTGCAAGAATTTCCAATGATGACCCTGACCACCTTGAACATGTTTGTCAAACTTATTGCCCTTCATCATGAGAGGTAGAATTGTCTTCCAAATCAGATCGCCAACCTATAATGATATTCATCTCATTATTATAAGCTCGGGCAACTTGAGCTTTGTCCTTCTCAATTTCCCCGTAAACCTTCAAACACTTTTTAGCCTCATCAATATTTCCCATCATTAAATCATAGTAAAAAAAGTAGCGGATAAAACATTTTGTTTGGCAATCCATATGCATCCAAATTCACCTCAATGTGCAAGATGACATCTTGACCATGAACAAGCACAAAGGGAGTAACCTTAATAGCACCAAGCCCAGATATACGATGAGCCCATAAAGCTTCATACAAAACCCCATGACACTCCTAGGATTGTCCTTTATCTTCTTTTTAATGAGTGTAATCAAGATTTTATTATTGGACTCGATTTGACCATTAGCCTAAGCGTAATATGGGGATGAATTATGCAATTTAACTCTATAATATCTGGCAAATCCATCCATGTACCTCTTTAGAAAGAAACCGTGTGTTTGATGTGTACTTTGGTTGGCTTGTTGGACCAATCGTCATGTGCGTTGGACTATCCAGCATGACCAGAAGAGTTGATTAGGATCTGGATTTTTTGGTGGGCCTTTTGGGATAAGTTTTTTTTTTTAAGAAGGGAAGAAAAGTTTATATACACCGCCAACCTCAAAGGCTCCACAACCCTAACAGACAACTCTCTCCCCAGGGAGGACTCTATCGAAACACCCAAAAAATTATTCCTAGAATTCAAACGCCCTTCTATATTGAGATAAACACTCCTTTGTGAGCTCAGCGACATGTGACGCAGTGTAGTGCTTGTTTTCAAAGACTCTTAGATTCCTTTCTTTCCATATGTTCCACATGATGTAAATGGTCATACCATTGAATTTGCATCTTTAGCTTTTGTGAACCAAAATTGCTGCAGCCTCCCACCCATCTATACTGTCAAAATATGTGGGGTAGCACATGCTGCGGGATCACGAACTGCTCATAGGTGGAAACTTGCAAACAGACAATTTGCGTGAAGGGGCAGAGGAGGCAAATATGATGTCCCGTTTCAGGAGGCCCATTGCAAAGCGGACAACTAGCTTGATGAGGCCAGCCCCAGATAGCTAGGTTATTTGTTGTTAGCAATGTTGAGAAAGAGTGGATTTTTAGCTTAACTTAGGTTTTAGAAAGATTTTCACAAGCTGGATTTTTTTGTTCTTGACAAATCGCTCCCCCCTCCTGAAGAATCTTGTCTCAAGCTTCCCACAACGGCTGAGAAGAGATTACTTGAGAGTCTCAAATATGACATAGTTTGGTGATGGGAGTGAGTTGAACCCATGAGGGTGCCAAGATTAGTCTATAAGGAAGCTTTGAGAGGCAATTAAATTAGTCTCTCAAGGGTAATATCTTGGAAAGGAAGGGTCTTGCTCAAGATGATGTTGTGGTGGCGGGTTCCTACTGCTCTAGTCGGGAGATGGATTGGGGGAGAGAGAGGGAAAGGGAATGACACATGGGGCCCGCTTGAAAGTGAGATGAAGAGTAGGAAATATCAAGGGCATTTTTGTCCATATGAAAATACAAAGCGGTCTGTACACCTGCATGTGGGCCCAAATACACCGTGAGAGTACAATATGGTGTATTTCAAACTTTGGAATAATTGTAATGGCACCAGCCCTATGAGGTGAGAAGTAATGATGTTTTTCATAAATGTCAAATTTATACGAGAAAATTTCCTATTTTTTGACATAAAAATCCACCTCTTCCCTATTTAGCACCTAAAGTTCAAATCTTCCCTATTTGTTGGCTCTTGAAAATATTCTTTCCTAACTGAGACTTTAGTCCATTTTGTTAGCAATTACCGGGAAGAGCCACTTCCTCTTTAAATAGGCATCTAGGAGACCGACGACCAGGGGCGGAGCCAGCCCTGTTCATTGCTGTCAGATGACAGTAATGATTTCCTGAGTTTTCATTGCAAATTGATGCTCATACGTGAACTTAAGCCATGACGTAGTACTTATGACATCAGTGGAATTTTGGCTGGATCCGCTACTGTCGACGACCTATATATTGAAGAAGAGGGAGCCCTTCCTCTTTACTCTAAGAGCAAAATTGTCCTTTCCCCTTAGAGTTCGCCCTATTCGTTTGGCTAATAAGACATGGCTGAAAGTACAGTTGGCTGATTTGTTGTGAGAGAAAAATATTATTCACTCGTTGAAAAAGTATGGATTATCATTTACATGCACAAACTAACAGAAGTGTCAGTTAGGGAAGAAAATTTTCAAGACAGGACGAATAGGAAAGATTTGAACTTTAGGTGCTAAATAGGCCCGAGGATGGTTTCTTTTATGTCGGATAGGGAATTTCTCAATTTATAATGGCATGGTTTTAATCCACGAGTGTCTACCAGCCAACAAAACATTTTTGTGTGTCCATCAATGACACAACATCACTTTCAGTGTTTCGTATCAAATTTTGCCTTTAAATTTACCTCCCTTCCCTAGTTTAGAGTAGTTTTCAATTTGGTCTCATCCTTTTTTAGTTAAAAATCCAATAAATATCTAATAAGGTTTTCAAAACCACAAAAATGTCTCTAGACTTATAAAACTCATGAGAAAAACTCCTATAAATATACTGGGACATGCAAAATCTAAATAAAATATTTAGAGTTCCAAATATCAAAACATCTTATAGGAGGGAGAAATGTTTTTTTTATAAATTTTCCATATTTCGGATATTTTTCACTTTTCGTAGAGCTAAATCTAATTTAGGAAGTTTTTAAAGAAATTTTTGACAAGCGCCAAGTATTTTATTTAAGTTTGTTTTGTCTCATTCTATTAAGATTTTTCTCATAGAAGATGTCTTGGTTTTAATTTTCGTGGAGTAAAACTAGAACACAATGATAGTAATTGATAGAAGTAAGATTTAATTTTGGGCGTGGCTAGCACCCGAATGTTCGGACGCTAGCCCCGTCTAGACGCCCTCGCGCTGTCCTGTCTGCTGCTCATGCTACTGCTGCCCGCTCCGCCTCTTGCACGTGCCTGTGCTACGCGCCTACCAATGCTGCGAGATGGAATGGGCACACTCCACGAGAAGCTTAGTGAAGTCACCGCGTTTTTGACGTGCAGCACCAAGCCAAATAAAGCGGTTTGGCAATTGAAGAGGCCAAGTATATCTAGCAAATACATGAGTAGTTGGCAGTATGCATGCTACTCTTCCATGCCCCGCCTACGGCCTGCTACATGCGCCCGCATGCACCTATCGCTGCGCGCCTATGCATGCCTCTTGCTACTATGCATGCTGCTGCATGCGCTTACGTGTGCCTGTTGCCGCTACGCATGTTGGTGGCATGCACGCGGGACTGTCTCCACTCACGCTTGTTTTCCGTGCTTACTGATAAAAACACTTGAAACAAGAAGCACCTGCTACAACATACGTCTGAAACAATACTCGTACAACATATGTGTATAGCCGCTGCAACATATGCAACATGTAGATAAAACACTTGCAACGTACTTCTGAAACAGCCGAAACATTTGAAACATACACTTGCAACATACGCGTATAGCCACTACAACATATGTAACATCTAGATGAAACAGTTGAAATATTTAGAAGATGCATTTGTAACATACGTGTATAGTCATTGCAACATATGCAACATCTGGATGAAATATTTAGCCTGTTCGCTTGTTGGTTTCAGCCAGCCCAAACCAGCCAGCCAATAGTGTTTTCCTCTCACAAAAAACCAGCACCAGCCAGCCCAAACCAGCACCAGCCCCAACCAGCGAACAGACCCATTGTAACACCCAAAATTTGCCACTTTTAAAAATAGAGTTAAAATGATTTATTTTTGAATTTTTGAGCACATGAAAACATAGGAAAATAAAATTTTCATTAATTTAAAATTTATCATAAGGTAGAAACGTGTTTGTTGCATTCATGCCGGTCGCACCTCTTGTTTCTATGTGCAAAATGTGTGTTTTTTATACGTTTAGGAGACGAATATCTATCTCTAGGAATTTTTCAGCTTCTTTCTGAAATTTAATTACTACCTCCTTCACCTTAATCTTTATGTTTCAAGTTCCCAACAATATTTTCATGAGGTC